GCTGCTAGCCGATTGGTAGACATTGATCTACGCTGATTGGTAGAAATTAATCTAGGCTGATTCAACAACCGATCACAGCTGACCTAGACGTGGACAAATATGATTCGCAGACAAGTGGCTCGCATTTCCGAGAAATATCGAAAACGAGAAAGCAGAAGAAGACTGCCTTTGTTTGCAAACAACCAATCAGAAGACCGCCTTCTTTCTGCGGGCAGAGCCTTATTAATGTACGTAAAATACATATAAATACCTGTTGGTTTTCGTAATAAAACTGATCTGTTGCCTGGCCCTTGTCTTCTGTTGTTACAGTGCTAGTTAGTTAGGCACACATTTCTGCTTAATAGTACCGATCTCAAAATATGCTTCATACTATGAACTATCTCACTGTTGTTCTGACTAGACTTACCAATCGTTGTACAGTCTGAGTAAAATGAGTAAGCTGTGGATTGAAGAATTACATACAAGTGCCATCCTCCGAGCTTGCCAAAATTTCTGTCTACTAAAAGCCTCTGATGTTTGTTACTTATTGTGAATGTGTATGTATCAGATTTCAAAGCAGTGACGTCAGTTGCTTTTACCCACACAGCAGTTTACTTAGAATCTTTGAATGAATTTGTAGGGAATCGGAGAAATTGATCAAATCACCTGAACCTCAGTAGTCTCACCACCAAAGACCAATTTGTATACCCGTGCGGTTAGTTGGATTTGCAAGGGACAAGAGCTCAGCAGCGGCGTTTTGGTATTATTGTGCATGTATGTACTCTATTCATTCATTGTTAATAAATACACCTTTCAGCAGCCGCAAGTATTATATTGTCCCTTCACTAGCTGGGGTGGGATTAAGGACAGCCTAGCTACCAGGTTAACTGGACCAGGCTAAAAAATCGGAAGGTAGTGCGATCATAGCACTGGTCTGGCAGGTTGGATGGTCGCCTAGAGATCATGAGCATTATTTCCAGTTAAAGCCAACTGTAAGAAAGCTAGAATTCATCCAGGCAGCCAAACCAATTGGTTTCCTATGATTTTACACTATTTCTTATCTGCAGCTAGCACAGCACTCCTGATTGGCGTTTCCACCGGTTTTCGTTCACTGTAAAGACTAACTATTTATTCAGTGACACAGATAAGCTTTATTGATGACTGTGATAACCCAACAAAACATTCACATAAGGCTCTACTTCTCTTCCTCGCTATATATATATATAAACTAAATTTCTCCTTCAGGGATTAGTTCTTTCTCGTGCAAAAGGATCCTCGGTTGTTTGATGTACAGCTAACTGAGTAAAATCTAGTGCATACAACTGAGTCAAATTAATGCTGCTATTTGTAACCTGCTGCGCTCTCGGAAAAATCTGGCAAATGAAACTGTCTAGTATATTCTATTGAAACATAATACATAATTACATTTAAACATGAGCTTGAGATTCAAGCTCCACATTCGACCCACATGTGTTTATAGGAATTTTAGAAGACAAAGGATATTGGTGATGATGCACAGTGTACTGTATTCACGAGTCTATCTCAAAAATCTTGAAGTACTTCCACCATAGGCAAATCAAACAACAAATTGATCGCCCACAATATGAGATATATTTCGATATCAGAAACGTAAAGGGGTGAAGACTGCATAATCAACTAGGGATCGTGCAATAACGACCGGCATGATAAAGTACCGAATGGCGAGGATGTTTGAACATGTACCTTCAGCTTGATATGCCAACTTAATCATTGAAAGTTAGCATCAAATTATTGGTGAAGAATGCTGTAAACTTATGATTATGGAGAATTATTTACAATTATAGATTGGACCACAAATAAAAACTTGAGACCTCTGTATCACAGAAAGGACGGAGAGAGATCTTTTTGCTGATAATATGCTACACATGTAATCAAAATATCCGCCTCCATCCAAACAAAACAACACATTTAATGGATTACAATCGTTTCGAAGCTAACAAAGGACTGAAGAGAAATTCTATTGTCCACTTTAGTTGGCGAAGCTACGAAAACCTTTAGAAAAGGGTTTCCTGGGTTACAGAATATTGTTGTCAGACATCCAGGATTAATCTCAAATTCGGATAACCAACTACGTTTTGAGATATTGCATTCTGTGGACAAACATACAAACATGATTCTCGCTATTAGAAAGTAATCCAAAAGTTTGTTTTATGACAGAATATAGTCTCCACACAGTGCGCGATCATGATAGAGTAAAATATTACGTTTGTACAAACAGTTTACTTACGACTGCCCAGTTAGCCTTCAAGATTTAGATTCTGTGAGCCCTAGATTCACAGCAGCTGAGAAAAGCACCACGACTGCATATTTCCGACAGTTTTCACATCCCATACGCAGGACAGTAATGTGCAGTTGGTGCAATGCGAATTAAGCGGGGCAAAGATGAGTATTTGAATAAGCACTACATCTGTATTCTAATGCTTGTCCCGTTTGAACGGTAAACAGCCCTCAGTCTTCGCTCTTAACTTACCAGCGCTCTAATAAAATACGTGTAACAAATTGTAAACAAGAATTCACACTTTCAGTTCACATTATCAATGAGTGATATTAATGTGGTGCTCTATTTGACCGAACTAGCGCACACGTTTATCTTAGTACTTCTTCGCGTTTATTCTTATTTATTTTTATTTTTTCTTATTTTGATTACAGCTTGATTCCACAGCGTATTTTCAGTACAAGTATGGAATTTTCAGCATGGATATCGGTAGCCCAAATTTCAGGCCGACCATAGATATCGGGTATGCGCCGGCAGGGGATCGAACCCCGGACCATGTGCATGGTCAGCGAGAGTCCTAACCACTGTGTCCTAACGCTGTGATTACTAGACGTCCACAACGTAAATCAAAAGACACTTGAGAAGGAGTACGAACGTGTATTATCGCATTTATCAAAATTCAAAAGTTGAGCGAGTACAACGTATCGATTGTTAACACGCAATCTTTAGAGTGATAAACAAACAATGTCCAATTACATAGTGAAAGTATACTATGATGATCAGTAATAAGATGGGTCACTACAATATTACTAGGCAAAACACAAGAACGCACTTCTGCTAGGTTGATTGCTGATAACAGCGAGGTCTGGAGCCTCATTGTGACTAGCTTCTGAAAAGTGATGAGTTCATACTTCCGAAAATATCGTATCTATACTATAGTCTGTGTCTAGCAGACCAATAAGACAGATTCTAAATATCACACTTTGAATGGAATTCATATTTTCCACACAAAAATTCAAGGAACACTAATATCAGTGTTCTTCCACACAAATAACGTAGAACTTTGGACAATTTCAAGAAGTCTGGAAAACGAGATCAAACTTCAGACTGAACCAGAAAAATTGGAAGGCTGGAAAAGGGCTAACTGAATAACTCCCAATCTCTAAGGATACCAAATGATGCATGGATGCACCCCAAAACCTTAAAGTAGCTTGATCCACATGTGGATCTAAAATGTCTCGCAAGGATCGAATCCTGGTGAAAGTTAAACCAAAGGCGTCTAGATGCAATCGCGAACCATGTGTGTAGACATAGTCAAAGAATACGTCATAAAACACTTCGTGCATTCAGGGCTCGGCCTACAGAACCCTTCTTAATGCTCTAAGAAAGTTACGTCAAACAGTATCTGAAATCACAGAATTATCGTCCCTAGCAAATGAGATCAACCTCTCATACAGAAACGTCAACTATGTTGCTCCATACTTGTCTGCTGCAAGGCATGGAAGCAGTAGGAGACACACAAAATAGTCACCCTTGATGCTCAGTTATTTTAGTCTCCCTTGTGACTACTCTTAAAGAATGGCGAACTAGTGGGCTTGGACATATCAAAAACGACTGAAGCCACCCTGAGAAAAGTGGAGCGATTTAAGCTGTGCTGGAAAATCATTAAGTAAAACAGTAGCTGAGTTTAGCTGACCGTACTGATCCTTGGTTCTCGATAAGGTTTCGAAGGCACTAACGGTGGCAAGACAACTGCTTTGTTAACCAGCTTCGTGCTAAAGACGTTGTGTGCTGAAGCCCCTATTTAGCTAATCCACAGAATAACCCTGTGTACCTTTGAAACCACAGCACCACAAGCAATAGTTATCGACTTGACTTAATCCATGACTCGCCTCACTTACATCTCTGATGCCCACTACCCATTTTATACCTACAGCTTTTTGCACCTCTCCCCAATCCCCACACATTTATACAACAGCTTTTCGCCTGATTCATTTTCCCCCGTTTTTCTGAAGTCATTCCTCGCCAACAGAAAAGAATAGATACTTAAATCAAATGACCTTGAATCAACCACTAAGGCGGCTCGCCGTTACACATGGATGGTGTCCATTCATACACTCGTGTGGGAAGGTTATTCATAACTATCATCATTAGACTATATTCATCAGAGAGTCATACAAGCTCTATTGAAGGATTCTACGTCCATCTAAAAAAAGCATTATAATAGTACATGGTTCACGATATGATATACCGCCACTTGGATTTTTTGTGTGGACATTAGTTTGATATATCTATAGACACTTCTATGAGAAACTCGGACAAGTTTTCACGTCATCTTAGAGATAAATACCCAGTATAATTCAGTTTTTTTACATATATGCCTTATAAATACACTTTTCTCTAAATAAATATTACTTTTCAACTGGAAGAATATAATAGGTAGATTCGAGGTCGTTTGGCCTTGGTTTCTATTCTTGTCACAGTCCGTATTGCCTTTCATAATATCATTTCGTTCTCTTTAACAATTCAGGATGACTGAGTGTTAAGAAGAAAGTCACAATATTACCCCCGCAATAAAACAGACCACAAACTAGCGACAAAGTCTGACCGACCTCCCATCACTTATAATGTCCAACAAAACCAAAGTAGGGAGAGTGACTGGACTGGCTGAAAATAATCCGAACAACAGGAAGCATCCCCCATAAAAAGAGGTTAGCACTGGGTTTTTAATTTGGTTCATCCTTGGTAGCAAAGCGGGTATTGGACATAATTCGCAGGTCACTGAGAGTGGGTTTATAAAACTTCAAGGTCTCTGTCACGCTACCCTCATTTCATCTATATACAGGAAATGCTGAAGTCGCTATTGAAAGACCCTGTCTTAGACCTGAAGAGGATTAACAATAATGTTTCCAAACTCATTAAAACTGATAAGTCGGAGAAGAAATTCTTCAAAGTTCGTTGCTTTTCATTCATATGTCTAAATATTTCAGTTGATGGTTAAAACGTGGAGTGAAGATGAAGACTCCAGAAGAATTTTGGCCTTTCTAAATATCATGAAGGCCATTTCTTTGAAAGGAGAGTGCACCAGCCTCTGCATAAAGCTGATGTACATGGCGTATGTGCGAAACTGCAAATTTGTTTTGGGCTCCAACATTGCACAAATTAACTTGATGCGTGAATGTTTGTTGGAGTTATTTGGTACTAAGTTGGACGAAGCCTACATACATGCATTCGTTTACGTGCGCCAGCTTGCAATTACACTTCGAAAAGCATATAGTTCTAACAGTAAAGTAAGTTTATTAATTGCTTACCATTTTTTTGTTTGGTCTTTTTCACAAGCGAATTAAAAACTGTTTCCTTCTTTCGTGCATAATCCACATTTCAAGTGATATATTTAGATTCAAAAATCCGACTATTTCATACCTTACCATCAGTGACTCAGATTTTAGATTGGTGGAAAGGTTTTGAGTTTACTTTATTCCTTTACTCATAATTATATGCATTTGTCATTTACTTTCTTTAACGGGTCGGCTGAAGTCTCAAATACCAGTTCTCCTGGAACTCGATTCCAAGATGTCATGATTCTGTGGCACATCCAGTACTCCACGTCAATGTAGTTCCTCCCCAGTTTTTGAACTGTTTTCCTATGTCCTCTGAAATGTTCCAACATAGTAGTAAGAAGCAGCAAAAATACAGGCAAAGTTAAACTATCATAGCCAAAGTCACAGTAACCCTGAACAACCAGTCAAAATTGAGATACAAAAAAGTCGCATAATCGTTGAAAAATGTACTAAAATTATCGCAAACTTGATATTACATTGCATAATTGTAGCTTGTGTTGTAGGAATGTCTCCCAGTCAATACACATATAGTCTTTTAAAAAATCGTAGCATGCGCGATATACTCATTCTTCCAGATGACTGTAGGTCATAATACCTTGAGATCCATTGATTTTTCCGACACTTCTCCAGCATACTCTTAACTTTAACCATAATCCTAACCCTGAATTTTACCGTGAACCTAACCATAGCTCTAGACCCTAAACTTTAATCTTATAAGCCATAACCCCACATATCAGTATAGATTTACAGAAAAAGTACCTCGTCACCAAATCCAAAAAGGCAGGGATGTCCTGATTTGAAATGATATTTCATAGCATGCCATGTGTCTGAATGGTTCTTGAAACTCAACTTTTGAAGGAGCTTGACTTTGGCTATGCTGTTTTAACTTCGCCGAATGGAGATTCAGACTTTCAAGCCGTCCTTATAATAAACCGGTCATACCTGGAATCTTACATGTGTTTGTACTTTAAACGCCTTCCAATGTGTGGATGTAGACAAGATGGTTTCTAGTATAGATCAATACTTGTGATCCGAGTGGAGGTCGTACGTATTGCCCATAAGCATCTATAGCCGCGAAATGTAACTGAGCAGCAATCATTATTTACTCTGATACCCAGAATAATATATGTCCGAACTCGAGGGCATAGTGTTCGCTCGAGAATGCTGGCACACGAATATGCAGAGCTCCCAGCTGTTTTAAGCTAAACTACCCAAAACAGATTTTTCAAGTACCAGCCTAAGAGCTACATGTATCGTGTGAGGGTTGATGATACTGTCCAGCTGCCCAAGCGGAAGTGAGTGAGGTGAGACCCAAACCCTTAACCCATCGGCTTAAAACCAATGCTTCGGATGTAGTTGATGCTATGGTGACCAAGCCTTGTGGTTTTCTTATAAATACGGAGTTTCTCACACAGTACACGAAGGCTTTTGTATTTTCCACCTTCAGTATTGTTCTTGCAACCTTGGTTTAGCATGTGCACTAAAAAGTGTGATCTGAAATACTACTCGGACGCCCAAGACGAAACAGTTTTTGCCATATGGCTTCACTGTTTGAGCCTTAGACTTAAAGTTTACATCGCGAAGTGGTTAGACTACGTTTTCCATGGTTGACAGATCTTCGAACTATTTCTTTCTTGTGTGTTTCTAATTCATTTGTCTGGTATTAGATAACAAACGTTAGCATTCACCTTCATGCTTTTGTGGAAAGGTATCTAGCTGTATAAAGTAAATGAATATGACCTATGTTACAGAGGCTATTAACTCGTGACCAAATAAAGACATGGAATGATTGAAGTCACACAGTTGACTATAACAGGGCATTAATAGGCTAATATCTTCGTCTTCAGCCTGTTTTTGTCTGGTTTTACAATATTCAACAGTCCACACTTACTCTCCCAGATTTCGAACCTAAAATTGTCAGGCTACTGTGTAACCATCTTACTACTCAGCCACATTCGTTTTAAATTCCTCTCCAACTAACATCACTCTTGCTCTCGTGCCCCCATTCACTAGTGCTTTCATCTATTCTAGCTTTTCATTTGTAATTCAGAAGTCCACAATTTTTAAATACGGCGATTCTGTCATTGTTCTGTTTGTGTCATCTGGTTCGAGTATGTTCACGTAGTATATTAATGTAATTACTCGCTCAAGTCTCACATAACTACTTCTAACTTTCTGTTAACAATAAGCTTTGTCCAAAGCATAACTTTAGTTTTGATATATATATATATATATATATAATTTTGGTCAATTAGACCCCTCGCTTTATGCTCCATGTAAGTAGTGTTAGTTTTAATGCAATAATTATGAGCTTCACTTTATTGTATACAATCAGTTGTAACAAATTTCATGCTTAATTTATTTTCACAGGAGGATATTCAGTCTGTAAATAATTGGCAGTTTGTGTACAGTCTTTATTTATGGTCTGATTTTACGTCGAGATATGCAGGTAGTCATACTTTGGTACAGACGCTTATTCATCCTTTAACTCAGTTAATATATGGAACAATCAAGTAAGTTCATCACTTGTAATAATCATATGATGACAGAGTTCATATTATGTACTATGCTGAATGGTTTTAGGGGCTTATGTTAAAAACTAGTGTTACTCAATGCTCTACTTTCTTTTTCATCAGTAATTCACTCTGTATAAATCAACTAGTTACTGTATTTAGATTTTTCATGTATAAAATTATGAACCATACCTGATTTGTAAGGACTTAATGTACTACCAAATTTTTCAGATCATTCATTATAGTTATATCAAAACGATATCCACAGTTTCTCTAGACCCACTTTGCAGTTTGGCTATGAGTTATGAAATGAACAAAGCGAACGACCATGTTCTGTTTTAAGACTAAGTGGGGAAAAGGATGGCGATTTAGATCTGTAAATATTAATACATCTAAATCTATATCACTTAAGTTAGATTCAGTGAAGTGTTTGAATAAGTGAACTAAAATCTACCAAGCAAAACCAAACAGTTTCAGCGAGAAAAGAAGTGAAAAACAAAGGATTTATTCGGAAATTTTTAAGGACAGAACTGGCGGAAAAGTTAGTGGTATTGATAACGCAACTGAGAATGAATTGAATCGTCATAGTGTTGCAGTGTAAAGAAGGTGGTGAATTACAAAAGGTAAATCACACAGTACTTGATATGATTATGAGCAATAGTTTATGCTCGAAACGTCATCAGTTAATATTACTGTACAACACTGTGTGATTTATAAAAATAAAATCTTATCCATAATGGAGTTATGCTCTACCACAGTGCCCAAGTTTTATGCTTATATCAATTTCACTTAAATGGCTTCGTATTACTTATATTTCTTAAACGCTGTTCATTTTTAGGCTGAATAAGGGTCAACGTTGGATACCACTTCGTTTTCATTGTATTTCTATGCTGCACAACTTAGCTGGTGTACCGATTCCATGCGAACCAACAGCTTCAGAAGACAAACAACAATCGTCGACTGATGATACCGCCCTTAAATTACCTTTAGTCGGCAGAGCTTTGTCTTCAGAGACTCGTCTGTTAATACCTACTCTATCTTTATTGCTAGATGTATTCCAACTGGTTAACTTTAATCAAAGGGCTGGACGAGTTTCGAATGCTCCATTAGATTTACGCTTATTGTTACATTTCTCACCTAGTCAGAAACATGAAACTGCATCAAATGACGCTATAATAAGTTGGTTATTTGATTTATTGGCCGAATGTATGGCTTTGCATGCAAATTCTATTGCTTTCCCAGAATATTCACTGCCGTTCATCACTGAGGTAAGCATCCATTGTATTCATTATTTCTTTCTCAATACATATATATACATATATATATATATATATATTCCTTTACGTTCCCAGTGGAACATAGAGGTTCAAGCTAGAGCTTAAAAGTTTCAGTAGCGGTGGTGTTTGCTTTTACGTGATGGGGTTGCTAGCCTCATGCCCAACCTCACGTCTGTACCAGTCTTATTACTGGCTCGGTGAGGTAAAGGAGTACGTTGGCTGGGGCTCTAACTCCGAACCGCATGCGTAGTCGGCTAGCATTTTGCCGCTGTACTACCGACGTACATATATATATATATATGCTTTTTGTGATTGATGCTTTACATACTAAGGATTCAGTCAGAAAGACATTCCACCCATTCTTGCTTTTATGCTTTTTGACGTTCATTAAGGAGAGGGATATGTGCAGTCTTAAAGAAATCCATCACCCCACTGATTCAAACCTATCACTCAATAGAAATAAATAAAGAATGAACATATTCGCCTTATTTCGTGGATTCTCTTCAACTGCGTACATCCTGAATAAATTAATTAATTGTTACAAAATGCTGTCTGAACATACCTTTTACGATGATTTCAAGGGATAGATAGAAAGTATAAGCAACATAATTCCAAAGATGATGTAAGTGGACGAATTATTCAATGTTAAAAGAGTGACTATTTATATAATAATTAGACAAGGGAGGTAGGGTTCAGATTTCGCTTGGAAACAAGGATGAACTAGAGACAAAATATAAAGTGGAACAACAGAGTGAGTTTTTACATATTATGTTTGAGAGTTCGGGGGGTGGGTGGTGAATAGTAACGTAAAATTCTAAAATAGACAAAATAACTTAGATTTGAAAACTTAATAGTGATTACAACTCAGTAGGTGACAATTAAAATTAAGTGGAATGTTGTGCACACGAACAAAATGGTTATATTTACCAGGGTAGTGAGAAGTTAGTCTCTCTATCTTTTTGTAAACAGAGATTGACTCGAAGTATTTTGATAACAATAGCTTCTGCGAACCGACGTGACTATGGTTTTACTTATGTAGTGATTATTTTGAAAGCCTGACTAATTTCCACTCTATGTCCAGTGTCAATTAGATGTCTGGCAATTGCACTTGAGTACACTTTACGGCCTTTCAAACGGAGATATACCGTGTCGTAAAGTCGAGTGAGTCTAGCTGTGAGGACTGTTCTTTTCAATGCTCCCTTAATTTTTTTTGCGTTCATGTGGGTACTTCCTTTCCTTTGTACACTAGACAGATAAGAATTGGTTTCTTTTCAACTATTTCTGATTTAATTTTTATATAAGTAGTTACTCTTTTAATACTAAATAATTCATCTACTTACATCATCTTTGGAATTATGTTACTTTTACTTTCTATCTATAACTCGAAGTCACTGTGAACAAGTATGTTCAAAAATTTTGTAACTTATAACTGATTTCGTTTAGGATGTACGCAGTTGAAGAGAATCGACAAAATAAGACGAGCTTGTGTTATCCTGAAAATATGTTTGCTCTTTCTTTATTCAAAATAATAAAGGGAGCCGATTGTATGAAACCCAATGAAAAGTTACATTTTACTAATAATTTGTTCAGGACATAAGTGACTTCTTTGTAATCATTAGATGATAAGTCTAGTCGTCTACTTCTGTTGATGGAAATCTACCCATCCTATGTATAGTGCAACCAATGGACTAAGCGACACCATTCTACAATGCACTGTAATTGGATGTTATATTTTAAAAGTTATTCAGCTTTCTCCATATGTTTGTGCGTCTGTGACACAACCGTTAGGATACTTGCTGACCGTGCACATGGTCCGGGGTTCGATTCCCGGCCGACGCACACCTGATATGAATGGTCGGCCTGCAAAATTTGGGCTACTGATATCACACGCTGAAAATTCCATAGTTGTACCAAAATAATGTGTGGAATCAAGCTATTATTATTTTTCCTTTAATTCCTAGAGGAACATAGGGCTTCAGCCGTGCGTCTCCATTGCGTTCGGTTCTCGGCTAGAGTCTTCACCTGGCTCCAAGTCTGTCCACACGTTTTCATCTCCTCTTCACATGACCTCTTCCAAGTCACCCTTGCACTGACGACCAACTCGCCGCTTCCCTTTCGGGTTCCACTCGAGCATTGGCTTGTCTAGTGATGTCACTTGATGGTTTCCTCAGAGTATGGCCAGCCAAGCCATCTTCCTGCCTATTTGTTTCACAATCGGTTCCTGGTTTGTTCGCTCATTGCTAGAGATCTCTGTTGCTGATCTTTTCTGGCCGGCCATCTGATCTTGAGTATTGAGCGAAGACAACTGTTAATGAAGGTCTGTAGTTTGTTTGAGATGCTCTTAATGACGCGCAGTGCAAGTCTCTGATCCGTATGTTAAGTAGCACTGACTTCACGTTGGAGTTGAAAATCCGGATCTTACTTTTGATGCTGAGTGCTGTTGATCTCCACACAGACTTGAGAGTAGTGAAAGCTTGCCTTGCTTTTCCGATTCTTGCTTTGATATCCTCGTCAGTTCCACCTGTAGTTGACGGGACGGTAAAAAGTAATGGTTGGAAACAATTGGTGACATGGCTCAAAATCGTTCTCAGTGGCGCAGATGCATCCACTCCTTGTGATTTATGATTTCCAATGAAACTGTTTTGTTCTTCGTTATTACTATTCCTTTGTCTCATACCTCTGTTTACTGTCTCTAATATGCATTTCTCCCACTTTCTTCTCTTGCTTTGTGTGCTACATTGAGGGAGTGTGGCGACTTGAACTGCCGCACATATGTGCAAAGTCCTATGTCGAAAACCGACCAACCGGCCTGTAGTTGAAACGATGCTTCCCAGGTAGGTAAAAGAGGTTGTTTCTTTCAGGTTCCTCCCATTTATGCTGATCGTTGTCTGTTGTTGTTCTTGTCCAGGAATCTTCATCACCTCTGTTTTCTCTATGTTCACCTGTAGTCCTATCTTTGATGCTTCCTCTGCCAACTTGTTGCTTTTCGCTTGCATATCTTCCAGTTTGTGGGAAATCAGACATATATCATCGGCGAAGTTCAGATCCTCCAAGTTTTTTGTGTGTCCATTTTATGCCTGTTTCCTCATTGCCCGCTGTTTGTCGCATTATCCAGTCTACTGCAATCAGGAAAATCATTGGCGATAGTAGGCAGCCTTGTCTTACTCCTGTCCTCACTTCGAAGGATTCCGTAAGTTTCCCGTTGTGGATTACTTGGCATGCAGCATTGTCGAGCTATAATATTAAAAAATAATCATTTATATATTTACTTACTTACCGGCTTTTTTTTAGGTCAAACAGTTTTTACGCGTATGTCGTGTAGCCTCCTTCTGTAGACAAATGAAAGCGCTAATGTTAAAAGTACGTGAACATTCAGAATGGATTGTTAAATGCCGTAGACGTGTTCGAAATTTGACCAGTAAAAATGAAGTGGTAAGTTAGCTAGTTTACTTTTAAGATTATCTTTGTATTTTTCATAATTGAGAGTTTCTTCACTTAGGATGTGTCTTTCTAGAAGCAGACAATCGGTCCTAAGTCTTTGATCATTTATAAATGTATATTTACAATGTAGTTGCCCCTTTTAAAACACATTTTTTATGTAACAGCTCGAAAGTACTTGCATATTGAGGTGGTAAATATCTACCATTTATCTGTGGATATTCCCTCAATATACTGAGAACAGCAATATCCTCAGTGAGTGGTAATGTTAGTCAAGGGGGAACACACTTCTACAGTGACATCGAGTTACAGATAGAAAGTATGGGCAACATAATTTCAAAGATGATATCTACGAGCTCGCCTTATAACCAGAAGGTCCTGGGTTCGAACCCCTTGTGGAGGATGCGTGCTGATGAAGAGTCCCAAACTAGGACGAAACAGTCGTCCAGTACTCCCAAGTTTTCCAATGCTTCTCTAACCAATTTCATCTCATGATGAAATCCTCCAACCAATCAAAGGACAATAAGATTGAGAAAAAAGCTAAGAGTGTGAGTGATTCCTGAATTCATTCGGTGTTCATTCTACTTTCCATTTCAGTTAACACTTCTTTATTGTGATTAAGATGTATGACAATTTGAACGGATGGTCTTCTATGCAGTATCCTATTTTGGGTGTATGCATGTATTTCTCATAGATTTATACTCTTTCAGTGTTATAGTCTTATCTTTCCTAATTATAATCTTTTACACTATATTGTTTTCGTTTTTTTTCTAGCGAAATGTGGAGTCGACTTGTACTCTTTTCGATAATACAAACAAACTCTTACCATTTTGGCAGTTCTACTTACAGCATAAACAAATTCGATCTACAGAATTAAATCGACTGACTGAAAGCAATAAGAAGGAGGTAAGAGTTCCATTATGGAAAAAATTTATTTTAATAAAGTCACACAGTAATAGAGAAGATTTGTAGCTATTAATTGCAAAAGTCACACAGTGTTACGCAGTAATGTTTACTCATTACCACGTTTTGAGTACAATTTATTGCCGCTCATAATCATATCAAGTTACTCACACAGCTTTAACTTCATTTATATAGTTCTATTATTTCTCATCTCGTGATTTCATTGGTAATAATACTTTCCATATTTCTGGCATTGGTGATGAGTCATTCCTATTGCATGTGTTGGGTGTAGATTCTTTGGGCAAAGATTCAGTAACCAACCTCTCTGTCCACCAACCTATATTGCTTTTCCAAATTTTAACTCTATCTCACCCTATTGTGTAGTTGTGTGGTAATGCATGCAGTGCAATTTCTGAGTTTTCTTCTAAATCACTTATCTTCGCGGAATCAGTCATTCCAACCCAAACCTTAGTTAAATTCTTGTATGTTCTGACAATCTGACTACCCCCGATCTACTTGTTTGACTGACCTATGTAGTTAACTTAACTTGCAGTCATTGCAAGGCATTTTGTTAATTATATGATATTGTCTAATTGGGTCAATGGCGCCCTTTGACCTACAGAGCTTATCCTACCTGAGTGAGTTTGTAGGTTTATATACCATGCGATTAAAATAAATTTCCTCCTCAATAGAATTATATACTCTACCTCAGTGACCAGGTTCTATTCTTTTATATCAAGGAAGTAAGAGATTTAATTATAGTTCTATCCCTATAGGATTATCTTGCTATTGGCTGAAACTTCCTTTCAATCATACAACATAGTTGTTGATTGTTCATCCTTGAAGACTTGAAGAAGACTTTTTGTATAGATAGATGCCTTGATATTACATCGTATGAAGTTATGCTAGTGATGATGACCATAGTTTACAATGTTCACTGCAGACGTGTTAGTAAAAATCTGATCTTACTAGCTAACAGCATAATATGTCTATTGATTATAAGTCCATTTGTAATGATTGTTAACACACACACACACACACACACACACACACGAAGACAGTTTTCAATGTTGCTCTAAAATATCACCATAATTATAAAACTTATGATTAAGTGTAAATAACCATTACAAAAAGACGTATAGTAATAACAACTTGGTCCATTCCTCTATGCAAAAGATTTTTAGATATATTAAAATTATTCCTAACTCCAATTAAAATTTACATTTACTAATTAGCGAATGATTATTATTCATTAGTGGATCCATTCAGCATGACTATGTTTTTTGATGTGTTCTATATAAATGAAACACTATCATTCACTAAAATACAGGTACATTTGGATGGTAGTCGTAATTTTAAGAAGAATTAAGGTTTTCATAATTGTGTAAGAAAACTAAAATACAAGGAAGCCAAGTGAATTAATTTCATCTCTCTAAAATACAACACATGAAATTCAGTTAGATCAGAAAGTTATTTATTCTGACAATACACTCAGCAATAGCCATATTTCTTTACCTGAAAGCAGAATTCGGTTCCGTCGACAGAGAGGTACTCTGGCGATGTTTGTCTGTGAAAGGAATACGGAGAAAGTATATTGCTCTAATCAAGGCACTCTACTCGAACTCATGCAGCCGCCAAGTAAAAGCCTACGGAGATTTGTTGTCTGAAGTAATGACAACCAGTGGTGTTCGTCAGAGATGCCCACTATCCTCATTTCTGTTTAATTTCATCATATATGTACTAATGAACTTAACCCTAACTGATTTCAGCAATTCAGGGATTGACTTGTTACCATCAAGGAATAATCTCATTGACTATGCGGATGACATATTCCTCCTGGGTGAAGTAGCTGATTGGTGTTTTTACGAGTTTGACCACGGATTGATATCATTTAGAGAACCACTGAAGATCAGGGAGTACCAGATAGCTGTTTCATCCTAGTACTGCCGTTGATTCCAAAGCTAGGATGAAACAGTTGTCCAGTACTCTCTGGTTTTCAATGGTTTTCTAACTGATATCAATCCGTGGTCAAACCCATAAAAACAATTGATATTCGCCTACAAAATGATTGCAAAGATAAACTGCTTAATTTCGCCTTCTCCATATCCATTTCCCAGTCGAAGTGTTACTGTGAAGCTAGTTCCATTAGATATGAGATTAAGCAAGTCCATCACGACATTTTCGAATGCCAACAACCATCATGATTTAGTACAGGACGGAATAAAGCGATAGGCTAATGTATGCTAGCTCTCCTTGTTGACACTGAACATAATGTCGACTTTAACAGAGTCTCTAAGGGTATTTATAGCATTTCCTGTAATGTCCGGCTTTTACATACAGTAGAGGCGATTGGAATTCATCTAAATGGATCAAATCACTGCGTTCATCGTTTCTATTAACTAAGACATCATTTGATTAGTAGAAATCTGATTTGTTATTATAAAGAAGCTTTGTATCAGTGTAGAGCAGATGATGATGAACTAGTTAAAAAGATATCCGTTTCTCTATTTAGGTTATTTTTCTTCTGAGTAAAGAATATAATAAAACTCAATATTTTAAAAAATGGAATAAACTTATTCGTATAGCAGAAATCTCTTAAAATTTGTGTCGCACAAGATCTAGATACAAGACGATAATCTGGACTTTCACAAACAACCTAGACTTACCTAATGAGTATTAGTCTTGTCAGCTTCTCTTTATTACATTTAGCATTATACATTTTGATTGGACACTAGTTGGTAACTGGTATGATGTATCTAGTTCTTTGTTTAGTGAGGACTGAATTCTCCTATCAGTCATGTTTGCAATGTGGCCACCGTTCTAGTTGCCTCGCCGTCACAACGCATTGTACTGTGAATTGTTGATATTAGGTGGCTGGAGGCAATCGGCAGAAAGCCTTGTTTGACCTAGGTCTCGTCCAATGCAGTCCTACAGAAGGCAAGATGCGATTTCGAATGGCTCTATGGTAACTTCTCTGACTGCGGCACTGGGTGACGCGGGTTCGAATTTCAGAAGGGATATGAGTTCCTTCAAGTTTACAGATACGCTTTACTGACTGGTGAGTGCCAACAAGCACTAAACGTAGGTCAAGCAAGGCTTCCTGCCGATTGCCTCCAGTCATCTAGCATCATCTTCAAGGTTTACAACCCTTTCCTTTATTTTTTGCGACGGAAGCGGATATATATGAAAAATAAAGTTAGAAGGATAGTGTAGTTATGAAGTCAACTATGTAGTTGTCATTCATGTGAATTACTATGATGGTTAGTTTCATATATTGGGAAACATTGGATTGAATTGTGTATGGTGGGGGAACGCACGAGTTAGTACAGATGCGGTGATCATGTATTACAGGTATGTCGCTTGTCTACGCCAACAAAGTATACAGCAGCTACCCGACTTCCCACCCCGCCACTTAGGCGGGAAAACACAGCGAGGTAAGACGGAAAGTATATTTACGCAAGGAAACAATTATATACACACATATATTTATACATATATCGTCAGTGTTGTATACGTGAGAAAGGAAAATCCGTTGTTTATCTGTTTATTTCCAGACTGAACATCGGTTACCATATGAGTTAGTGATACCGTATTGGGGTGATATTTAAAGTGAAGGCTTTAGTTGCTGCAGCAGTGTCGAAACGTCTTTAGGACATGTCTCGGATACTCCATCAACTGAGATTACAAAAGTTATGTGCTGACTGCCTCAGATTCATTTCATAAAGGCTTCGTTAGACAATGTTATCTTGTACATAACTGTCCATTGAGCAAAGTATGCCAGCTCATGTCTTCTCGTCTCAAGTCACCACACTAGTATCAATTTGACAGATAGTGCTTGTCTCATTTAACAGTGTAATCTGGCTGTTCGAATCCTCCTGTCAGATACAGGACTCTGAATAGTCACTCTTTGTTTAAATTGTACGTTCAAACCAATCAGCCTGATGCAGTATGTGTATTGTAAACCAGTATGACATTAATTAGTGGTACGCTAGACTATGATCTATGTCTTTTGTGTAACAGTGGGGGGATATTGTCTAGCTGTTTGAACTTTGCTTGTTGGAACAGGTTCGAGATCATCAAGTGAGAAGCTAAGTCAGTTAACTGCAATTCATGCATTGCTCAACACAGTCTATCAGTGTGTACTAATGTATATGAGTTTACTAGTATGCTCAGTCAATCGTTTGTTTCCTAATCTTGAACTTTCCTCGAAAACTGTTTATATCGTTGAGTTTTTTTTGATTACTTTTTGTTTATCTTTTCCCCACAGCCCATACCAACTGACACAACTACAGAGTATGATTCAATGAAAACAAAATCTGAGTCTGACGATTCAGATTCAGACCATAGTGATTCATCCTATGATATTGATGATGGACGGACAGTTACACATGTATCAAAATCAAAGGGTAAAAAGAAAGCTAAAAAGGATGGTCAAGTTGGTATAAGTGGTGACAAAGCTGCACAAGATAAGGCGAATAATGATGAGAGTGAAGAGAGTGATTTCGATCTAGAAGCTGCTCTAATGGATGAAGATGATAATGACAATAAAAGTGAGATTACAGGAGCTCCAGATGAACTGTCAGAATTCGAGTTGGAAGGTGATTCCAGCGATGAGTACAGTGACGAGAAGGACTCGTTTACTACAGATTTTGATGGTGATGATAATGAAGATTCCGATGTTGAAATGACTGACCTAACTAAATCTTCTAAACCTTCTGTTAATCGAAAAAAGAAAACGTCAGTAGCGGTTAAGAAGAAGGTGAAAACAAACAACCATGTTGTACCTAAAAAACCGATTCCCAAAGGGAAACGTGTGAGCGCTACATCGAAATCCCAACAACCTGCAATTAAACACTCAGATCCAACCAAAACACAAAGCCTAGTAAAGGATAAAAAGAAGAAAGCTAAGAAAAGGCCCATTGTTGACAAATAACTTGTGAAACTTTGTATGTATATATATATATAAATTCTTGCATCTTTGGTTCTCTTCACTTTTATCATCTGACATATGTACATGAAAATACTTGCATCTCAAAACAAAACAGACAAGAAATAGTTTGAGATGTTTCCAGTAAAAAAAATGTTGCAAACACTTCATTGTAGTTAAAGAAGTACATATGTAAACATCAACTAGCATTTTATAATTGTTTTCCACATTAATTTGTTTATTGAATATATCACACAGTGTAACAGGATTATTTGCTGGATGACTTTTTGACCACAATATATCGTTCATAATCATATCATCAATTATAACTACACAGTTTCGGAACTCGCATTCCTAGTGTTCTTTTTTCCTCCCCATTCTTCATAGGGATATTAGAATCTTCTAGATGTTCAGGAAATGTATTGAATCATTCTCGTTGCAAATATTTTCAGATGATTTGATAAATAAAGCTTCCGTTATGAATCTCTCCCTCGAACCTGTTATATTAGATTTTAATACTATCACTTTGTTCCACCCTATTGTATGGTTGTGTGTAACTGTATATACTGCTATAGGTGAGCTATTTTCTACATTTCTTATCTTATTAGGGTCAACTGACCTCGATTTCGCTAGGTTTTTGTGCTCCGCTAATCTGAATGACCCAGTGCTTTTACTTGAACCTGACATTAATTGCAGGGTCCCAGATAAACTAAGTTGTTTTGTTTAATTGGCTCCACAAGACCCTTTAACCGATGAAGCTCATTTCTCATTAAGTTTGTGGGTGGTTTGAGTCGTCTTTTTATTCCTGCATTGTTAAGAATTCTACTTAAGGTTTCAGAGGCTCCTTTCCTGTATGGAAGCACTACTGATGTTTGAAATTACCTGTCGTTTGTGTTATCATCTATCTGTGTATTATTGTTTTGCATGTCGTCCTTATTACCATTAATTTCATTTCCCTACATAATTCCTGATTAATATGTCAAGCTAATTATTAGATTTCAAGGTTCCTCTTATATGCTTCACTTCCTGTCTTAGATTTTCCTTGTTACTATTTAGTTTTTTGCCCTATTACTTAAACATTTCACCAATCCTATTGTTACTGACATAGTGTGGGATGGGCCGAAACCCAAATATCGGTTTGAATGTGTGGGTTTTCTGTACACACTAGTGTTCAAATTCTCATCTTCTTTCCTTTTTATGCTACAATCTAACATTAGAAGATCCTCTTCATGACTTTCCGGTTTATAAGTGAATTGCATTGCCTCTACTTTTGAGTTGATGTGTTCGAAAACCTATTCATATATTGTGCCTTTAGTACTGTGAATGTGTCGTCTACATACCTCCACTATTCTTTGTGAGTAGGACTGGACGTTTCAATCACAGAGCGTCTTCATTTACCCATTAATATATCTGCCACTGTTAGGGATATAGGCTATCCCCTGGGAACTCCCTGAGTTTGTTTGTATATTTTGCCTTATCATTTAAATACTATGGAAGTCAGGCATAGCTGCAATCCCGGCATGATGTCTTCTTGTAGCACTCTGCTCCTAAATTCGGGTTCTCGGTCAGAAATGAGTTCGTTTCTGACCACTTCTATAGCCCACATCTATCCGGATTCACGTATATAAATTGATGTCGATGCTATCTAATTTTAGACTGTCTAATGTGTTTTAGTTCATAAGACGTAGACAGTCTAGATTTTGAGCAGCCTTTAACTGGATTTGATACCATGGCGGAATATTTTGAACAGTTCACAAGTAGGGGAATTTCTGAAATTATCTATGGATCTAATGGAGCATCCTGACTTATGAACTCTAACATTACCATATATCCTGCCGGGACAATTAGTTTCGGGCATCAAACTAAGCCATTTAGACTCATCTGGAAACGGCCTCTTTCGGTATATAAGATTCGCTGTGGATTTCTTAATCTTGTTCACGTCTGTTGATCTCTTAATTCCTTCATACGATCCTGTTTGTATGTGAGTATTAACCTTCTCCAAATAGTCTGATTTGTCTAATACCATTTGTATCACTTCTATCTGACTTAGTAGTTACTATATCTTTGTTACTCTTATGGTTTTTAGACATTCTATTTCTGATTTCAACAAATTACAGATTTCACTCTTTTTTGTCGTTTATTGTCAGCCAGCTCGTACTTCATCTGCAGTTGTTTTATCTAGCCCATTTAGTGCTATTTCTATTGTTGAGATTACATCCTCGGGTTTCAGCTTGTCTACTGCTACAATGAAATCTCCAATGCACTTATTTCATCACTTGTCCAGGACATTTGGCAAGTCCCACGCCACCACCCTCTCGACGAATGGGAAGGAATAATAAGCACTAAAAACCCAAGTTTCGAGACAGTGCACTTCCAATTTAGGTGGTTATATTCAATAAGTAAATGAATATGGAATTACATAATACCACAGTGCCTATGTCAAACAATTTAAAGTCGTCCGTTTTTTAGGTTCCCCTCTCCTGGTAACGACAGTAATGGTTTCGCGTCCTGAATTGTCTAGTATTGTTTAGGGATAGTTGTTAGGTCACGACCTCATCCGTCTCCATAGTTGTTGTGTAATTTACCTAATGTTTGTCATTCTAGTCTTCTGGTTGACAAGACAGTAGGATATAGTTCGTGGGCATTCCGATTTGATTTACACTTCGCGCTCACTAGTCACTCATCAGTGAGATGTTTCTCCAATTCATAGAACCCTGTATTTATTCAGGTTCTTCAACTTTTAATGTTTAATGTGGGAGTCAAAGCTCTTGCTACCTGACTACTGCAACCGGACTGTACTTAATCTAGTGAGAACGTTGCAGGCTTGATCGTGCATCTTCGTCTACCATAAGGCACCCACCCCCAGCTCGATCAGGAAACTAAGTCCCTATTTGAGGAAGAACTAGCTAAACACATATCTGAGTTTGATAGCTGCGCTCACCCTGAAGAAGCCTGGAAGAATATTCAGTCAGCCATAGATACAGCTGTGAATAAGGTAAATCCAAAGGTGATTAAAAACCATTGGATTTCGACTGCCTCATCCGAACTGATAGATGCTACAAGACTTATTCCGGCGAGCTCCGAATTCAATGAGGAGCGAAAGCTGCACAAAAGGAAACTTACGAAAAGTCTCCGCAAGGACCGTGAACAGTGGTGGTTGACAAAGGCGAAAGAGATGGAAAAAGCATCGGCGATAGGCAACTCTTTAGACTGATCAGGGAAACGGGTGGGAGAAGGCAAATCATAAGTGAGACTATTTCTGAGAAAAATGGCTCCTTAATTAGCTCTCAGGATAGACGCCTTGAACCCTGGAAAGAACAATTTAACTTGCCTACAGCCACACTGAGCCTCCCCGCCATCCAGCACACACTCGAATGGTACATAGACACTGGCCCGCCGTCTGTAAGTGAGGTCACAAAAGCTATCTGTAATCTGAAACAAGGCAAAGCGGCAGGACCCAACGGAATTATTCCGGAGGTGTTTAAATATGGGGGTGACATACTAGTATATAGTTTAACTAAGGTACTAGGTAACGTCTGGGAATCAGAGACGGTTCCATCAGATTGAGGTAAGTCACTTATTATACCAATATTCAAGAAGGGAGACAAGTCCTCATGTGATAATCATAGAGGAATCAGCCTGACGAACATAGTCTCTAAAATCCTAGGCTCAGTAATCATGCACAGACTAAGCCGAACTCGGGAGGAACAAACGAGGGAAAATCAAGCGGGCTTTAGGCCAGGTAGAGGGTGCATAGATCATATCTTCACTCTCCGACAGATCCTAGAACATAGACACACTTTTAGGCGTCCAACAATTGCCATATTTCTTGACTTGAAGGCGGCCCTCGACTCCGTGGATCGAGAGGTACTATGGCAATGTTTGACTGTGAAGGGAGTGCCAAGAAAATACATTGCACTAATCAAGGCACTCTACTCAAACTCACGTAGCCATGTAAGGGCTTATGGGGAATTGTCATCTGAATTGATAACAACCAGTGGTGTCCGTCAAGGATGTCCACTTTCCCCTTTTCTGTTTAACTTCATCATAGATATGCTAATGGAAGTATCCTTAACTGAACTTAACGACTTGGGAATCGACTTGTTACCAGGGAATAGTCTTATGGACTTAGAATATGCAGACGACATAGTTCTGTTAGGGGAGGACGCTGACAAAATGCAGAGTCTTCTAAACACCTTGAGCAGCAATCTTCATATGTTTGGCATGCGATTCGCCCCTGTAAAATGTAAGATGCTGCTACAGGACTGGACTACGTCAACTCCTAGCTTAGTGATAGGGAGTGAAGTGATAGAACATGTTGACCACTTCACCTATTTGGGAAGTTGTATCAGCACCAACGGATTGATTGGTGACGAAATCACAGCACGGATCCAAAAAGCTCGGGCTGCTTTCGCTAACTTACACCGTCTCTGGCGTAGGCGTGACATCCGGCTATCAACCAAGGTACGTGTGTACTGCTCAGCAGTTCGCTCCGTCTTTCTCTATGGCGGTGAGACGTGGCCATTGAGAGCGGAAGACATGAAGAGATTGTCTGTTTTTGACCACAGATGTTTACGATCTCTTTCTCGCGTTAGGTGGTATAATAAGGTAAGTAATGTTGACGTTAGGCGTAGAGTGTTGGGCAAAGAGGGAAAATCAATCGAAGAGGCTATAAAATTACATAGATTGAGATGGCTAGGTCACGTGCTGCGCATGCCTAGCCATCGCCTCCCCCGACGGGCATTACTAGCTGATATAGGTGCAGGTTGGTTGGAAAAGAGTAAGTGGTGGCCAAACAAAAACATGGCATCAATCCATGAAATCCTTGACAGTTAAACTGAGTCAGGTAGGGAGATGCAGACTTCCGGGTTGGGGCCCTCGAGACTCCAAGAATCAATGGCTGGAGACACTAGGTGACATGGCTCAAAATCGTTGTCAATGGCTTACGCAGATGTATTCAATCTGTTTAACCTTCATATTCCTTTCTACCATTACTCATTCTGTTTCACTCTTATACCTCTCAAAACTCTACTGATTCTCTTGACTCATTTTCTTGTCTACCTTTGTGTGTTCTTTGGAACGTGGCAACTCAAACTGCTGCACTTCGGTGCCAAGTTCTATGTTGAATCCAGCCAGCCATAAGGCACCCACACTACTCACTATCCGACTGACATATTAGGCACCGAATTAGTGTTTACGTCGAAACTGACATTTCCGGACTGTCGTGTGACAGAATTCTACACTAGGAGGTAGAAACCAAAGAATATCGGTGGTTAGGACTCTCGCCAACCATCCACATGGTCCGGGGTTCGATCCCCCACCGACGCACATCCGATATCTATGGTCGGCCTGCAAAATTTGGGCTACCGATATCCATGCTGAAAATGCCATACTTGTACTGAAAATACGATGTGGCATCAAGCTGTAATCAAAAATAAAAAATAAGTTTACTGATTAGTGCAACTGACACGCTTCTACTCACAGTAACAATTGGTGTTACGGAACAAGTTACCACAAATAGCCACAGTGAAGGAATTAAAGGTGGTGTTTATCTGCTCCATTACGCACTGATACATTGATCAACAGAGTAGGATTGGTAACGTTTATAATGGTCTGA